AGATTACGGTTCGATTCCTGGTCAGGGCACATGTCCAGGTTGCGTGCGAGCTCCATCCCCAGTGTGGGGCATGCAGGAGGCAGCCAAACAATAATTCTCTCCCATCATTAACGATTCTATCATGTCCCTCTCCCTTTCTCTAAAAAAATAAAAAATAAAAATATATTTTAAAAACTTAGCATTGTCTTCCAAGTGAAAGAATATACTACCTTCCTTATTTTTAACAAGCTAGTAATGCAAATGTTAAGCAATACTATCACGATCTACCTATTCCTACAGAATGCCAATTGTGGTGCCCCCTCAGATTGCCTCACTTACCCCTGTCATATTCTGTTTTGTTTTCCAAAGAGAAACTCCTATAATAACGATGGTGTTGACGTGATTGCCACTCTCCAGTCTATCTCAGACTCCCTTTCTTCTCACTCACTCTGTTCAGTGACACTGACCTTCTGTCAGTTCTTGGAATGCAGTAGTACATTCTGCTCTTTCTTGTTTGAGAATTTTTGTACTCTTCTTCCCTCTGTTTGAAATTTCTCTGTTTGTTTTGCTTTTTTATGTCATGGCTAGATAATTGTATTTTTCAAGTTTTACTTTCTCTGGGAGCTGTTCTATGACCCTCAAAATAGAAACCCCTCCCACGTTCTCCTTCACAAAATACTCTCTGGCCATTTCTATCTTGTCCTTGAGGGTTTATCAAGGGGTTAGGCCAGTATCTAGTGCTCAGTAAATATTTGATGAATAAGTCAATGATTAAATGAGGAGAATTAGAAGATCATCTAATCTCTTTTCCTTAATATGTTTTCAAACTGTCACCTAGGAGAGCAGCACTATACTCTCGAGCCAGCAGCGCTTGACTTAGTGTCTTATTTCCAGACACTCTGGGTGATATCCACTGTGATCTTTATATTTGTGAGGAGCACAGGAACCTGAGAAAAATCTTGAAGAATTCTTTGAGAATCAAGGCCTCCTGAATACTCTGTGTGGACTTACCTACCTAGCACTGGTCAATGGAACTCTCTGTGAGGTTATACATGGCTTATATTTACCCTCGTAAATATAAATATGGTAGTCTCACTCAAAATGTGTGAATGAGACTAAGGAACTGAATTTAAAATTTTACTTAATTTAATTTAAATAGCCACATGTGCTAGCGGATGCTGTATTGGACAGCACAGTTCAATGCTTTTCTCTCCCAGTGGTGTAAGACGAGTCACTACTGGTCAGAGAAAGCCTGAAAGCATGGCTGGGATCCTCCAAGTAGAGTCAGGGGCTGTGGGGAAAGTTGGAAAAGGGAAAATAATTGCTTTGCTTCCTCAACAATCAGAAGTATTATATCTTAGACATATAAAACACGGACATTAAAATTTGTTGCCTAGAGTAAAAATAAATGATGATCCAGTAGAGAAGGTATGAATTCTGTTTATCACTTGGCACATGTACTCTGTTATACAGAGATTGAAAATACAAAAAACATTTGTATTTAGGTTTTGGAGATTCCCCCCCCCCCCACTTTATTTAATTTAAATCCCAATTTTCCAATACAGCGTGTAAAAGCTTCATAATGAGATGTGCTTTTAAGTACCTTATTTTTATGTAGATTCTAAAAATATAAACCTTTAATCAGTTTAGCTTAAGATAAGGTAGATTTAAAAACACACTGCAGTCTGAAATGATTTTTCAGAATAATAAAAGCCTCATGAAACTTTTTACCTCAAGAATTGTCATTTTAAATTCTTAGCAGGTCTGTCATTTAAATCAGGCACTGTGCAATTTTTCTATCATATATATATATGTGTGTGTATATATATATATATATATATATTTCTCTCTCTTCTGCTTTGTGCTCTGCCCAGCTTCAGTTTTTTATCTCATTCTCCAGTGCCCTCCTAAGCTGGCTCTTCTTACTGAAAAATGCCCAACTCATTTTAAAGATTTAAAAAAAAAAAAGAAAGATTATCTAAAATTTGAAAAGAAGCTAACCAGAATACTATAAACAATGCCGCTGAGGCTACTTCCTGATGAATAAACACTGGTTATTTTTAGGGGCATTTGGATTGGTCAGTTGGCAGACAGATTACCAGTGGCAATACTCGGTGGAACTGATTAGGATTTATAATAGAAAATGAGGGTAGGCAGCAGAGCTGGTGGGAAGAAAAAAAAAACAGTCACCTTTCCTTTCTTTTTAATCTTTTCAGTTATCTCCTCTCGTTCATGCCCCAAATTTAGAGGTAAAATTTAAGCTGGGAGTGATAAAACGCAGACTTTGAGAGCATGACATACTCCCACAGACATTAACTGGTACGATAAAGTTATTTTTGTTTGACTCTAAAAATACCAAGTTTTAAACCTATGTTTTCATATTACTGTGTAATGAACTAAAAAAAAAAAAGGCATTTAAAAATCATTGAATTTCTCTAGATAATACATGGATTATATTTTATTGATAATACTTACTTGAGGTTTTTCTATTCATGGCTCTACTATATTCTGCAAAGCTTATGATATTTTAGAGAAGGCATGAAGGGACACATCAAGATTGTGCTTTATCTAACATATCACTGTCAACATCACCAACAGAGCGGGTTTACTATGTCAGATGTAATAAGGTATATTATTATAACCATCATCATTTGGTTTATATGTTGTAATCAATTATGGCACATTTATGGCAACAAAGATTATAAAATCAAAGTAAAAACTAATGGAAAGGTTAATGTGGTGCTGGTTAGTATAGAAAATAGTTTGTTGCTAGGATTGTATTTAAAATAGGCATATTCAAAGTATATAGCTCAAGGGGGCAATAAAAGTATGAATTAGTCTTAATAAACTATTTTAAAAATTATTATCTAGGTACTAAAGAATCATAGTCATTTGTTATGTAACAACAGAGGCCCGGTGCATGAAATTTCATGTACTGGAGGGGGTATCCTTCGGCCCAGTCTGCCCCCTCTCACAGTTCGGGATCCCTCAGGGGAAGGTGATGCCCCCATCACACCTCTGCCACTGCCACTGCCGGCAGCACAAGCCTCAGCTGGCCCTGGTTACTTGATGCTTGGACGGCTATGGGTGGCTGGGAAGCCACCATCCAAGGCTTGCCTGTACCTCGAGCCAGTCCTGGGAGGTTGTTGGGGCTAAGGGGACTGGGGGACTCCAGAGGCAGGTGCTCGGAGCAGCCGGACCCGTAAAGGGCTGGCCAGGTTATTCCCACGCCTGCCATCCCAGGGGGGCTGAGGGGACTGGGCACCGTCATCCACATTTGTGAGGTTGTGATGGTCAATTAGCATATCCCCTCTTTATTGGATAGGATGTTATCTTTTAGGCATCTACAAAGTTGTTTATTTTCTAGAATCAAAATACATTTTCTTTATGTTCAGAAAATAAAATACAAATTTATGTTCCACAAGCTTGCATAAGTGGAGAATTTTGATGTAACAAGAGAATTAATTACTATTAAAATTTAACATCAGTGAAACTTTAAAACATGACTGAAAACACTGACTTATATTCTCATGATTAAAACATTTGACTTTTAAATTGAATATTCCCTGATTACATTTAGTATTTTATACAAATTGCTAATTTGGAGAATTACAAAGCAAAACTTAAATGAGATAAATAAATACTTGGAAATCATTATTCTTTCTTCTACATGTGACTCAACCCCTGTATTTGTGAGAATACATATAGTACAACAAAAAAAGCAAATTCGCAATAAACTATCGGAGTTCCCAACAATCTGGTATCATAAGGTGAAGTTTTCTACTCTGATACAGTTTTTTCACAGAATCTTGAGTCTAGACTACTGATACCACATGCTCACTGTCTTTCTCCAAGAAGAGAAAGCACGGTGGTTGCCAAGTCCTATGATATGGACAACATGCTCATGTATTACTTTGTTGCTCAATAATGAATCTGCCTTTAGTACATTTGAACAACAGTTTCTTTATAAATTCACACACCTTTCTCTAAAGAATTCAAAGTGAACTCACTAATATAGCCAGTCAACACAGCTTCTTTAGATGGTGACAATACTGAGTAGGTAAATAGTTTCTATATTCCAACTCTAGTCAGATTATATTTTTGAAAATTACACTACTGTGCAACACTAAGCTGTGGTATAGAACACAGCATTCTATATAGTTCTGGCTCAATAAATATGATAACCATAAAACTCATAAACTCGGTTAATTCTGTCAATTAACCTGGGTTCAGTGTTTTTTAACAATCGGTTGGAAAATGGATAGTCTATAGATAAAAACACGGTCTTGTTTATTATCTTAATTTTGCCAACAAAAAACACATGGAATTTTGAACCTTGTCAGAATAATATTTATGTCAGGATAACAGAATCGGGACTTGAAAATTAAAGACAATTATCGATACTTAGTTTCAAAAGAAATGTATATGCGTTTTAAAGCTATCCCTAGCATGCCCCCCCACCCCTGAAAAAAAGATAGAAAGAGAAAAAAGATTCAAACAGGAAGTTTATATGAGCAGGATTTAAATTAATCAGTTCCTAACAACTGTTAAGTACAATCTTTTGGAAATTAATTTGCATAATGATCATCTACATGGGGTAGGGCTGAGATTATTTAAACGACATGATATTTCACTATTTAGTCTTGCTCCACCACTATGTTAGCTGTGAATCCTTATGAAATGTAATGCAGCTAATGAGGTAGCTTTTTAACTGAACAAACTGACAGGCCCCATATCTGCAGAGGCAGCTTGAAACCGTGCCCAACCTCTTGGCTTCCCAAGAGGCTTTTCAAAATTCAATAAATAACATCTGTAGGCAATGTTGGGTGCAGACCTAGCAGAGTGCGTCATAACACTGTGCTGGCAGAACAAAGAAACCATGACGACTGCCAAGTTTCCATGGCAACTGCTGAGAGGCTCTGAGAGTATAATAGCACATCAATCACTGTCCAAAAGAACTTCATTATCAGCTAGAAAAAACCTTTAGGATCTGTTTAGTGTGCAATTGTGGGTTAACTCACCTCAAAGCCTTGCTCTCTAGCAAAAGTGGCAGCTTCCTGGAATAAAAAAAAAGAAAAAAAAAAAGAACAGTTAATTATAAAGTGCGAGGTAATGAAGAAATAATCCATTTTGAAACTCATTCACAGTCTTCTTTTTACACAATTATCTCAATATACCCACATAGTTCAATTTTTATTCTTACACCAAAAAAGATTTCTTTTTCCCTTGGCATAAAAAAAAAAGGGCAACATTATGTCAACACAACTTGGAATAAAGAAGATGTAGTGAATGTTTTTACTGTAGCTGTCACAGTGAGTTCAGGTGTTTTGACCCCAACAAAGAAAGACAATTATTTGAAACCTCTGGAACATGTCTGGCGCTTATGTTTTTAATTAAAACAATATCTTTCAAAAAGCTCTTTTGTAGAGAAAAAAGTCTGCTAGTAAATGTATCGATTAAGAGAAATCACCATTTTGCAGTCTCTAATGAAATTTATTCGGACAAGGATCATCAATGGATACTAAATTCATTAGGTGAAAGAATGATGGGGAACTGGGTATTTCATGGAATTAAAATGTCACAGATTATGTGTTGATCACAGGGAGAAAACTATAAATTTATAATGGAAGGAACAAGCTATCATAACCTTAACCCAGTGATTGATCATATCACTTATTATTAACAGTGGGGTCACCAATATTCTGTTATGAGACAGTATGAAGTACCCAGCATCATCTATACAGTTTCCTGATGAAAAATTTTTATTTATTTTTAAAATATATTTTATTGATTTTTTTACAGAGAGGAAGGGAGAGGGATAGAGAGCTAGAAACATCGATGAGAAAGGAATATTGACCAGCTGCCTCCTGCACATCCCCTATTGTGGATGTGCCCACAACCAATGTATATGCCTTTGACCGGATTCGAACTTGGGACCTCTCAGTTTGCAGGCCGATGCTCTATCCTCTGAGCCAAACCGGTTTTGGCATGATGAAAAAATTTTAAATGAATTATCAAAACTTTAATTATATAATTTGCTGTCTATAGGATATGCAGGGAGTAGAAGAACAAGTTCAATGATATACCGAAATAGAAAAATCCATAGGTAGGATATTTTATAGGACGAATAGCTTGGTCTCTTCAATAAGTCAATTTCATGATAAAGTGAGAGGGGGAAAATGACCAAGAATACTATACGAGGTAATGAAGAAATAATCATTTTGAAATAGACTATTTCTTCATTACCTCGCATTTTATAATAAACCAGGTATAAAAGACATTTTGGGGACAACAGGAGAAATTTAAATATTTTAAGAATTAGGTAACATGCCGAGACCGGTTTGGCTCAATGGATAGAGCGTTGGCTTGGGGACTTAAGGGACCCGGGTTCGATTCCGGTCAAGGGCATGTACCTTGGTTGCGGGCACATCCCCAGTAGGGGGTGTGCAAGAGGCAGCTGATCGATGACTCTCTCTCATCGATGTTTCTAGCTCTCTATCTCTCCCTTCCTCTCTGTACAAAATCAATAAAATATATTAAAAAAAAAAAAAAAAAGAATTAGGTAACATTAAGAAGTATCAATTTTGATAAGAAAAATATCCTTAATTTTTAGCAGTTAATCCTGAAGTATTTAGGGATAAAATGGCGTGATACATGTAATTTACTTAGAATTCTTAAAAATATTAAAGTGAAGCAAAATGGCAATATATTAATTATTATATCTAGATATATTTCTACTTTTTTGACTGTTTGAAAATTACAAGAAACAGTCCAAATAAACCCCTATTTTATTTTGGTTTAAGATGACAGGGTAACAAAAGTTGAACATTAAAAACATATAATTAAAATACATAATGTTTTCCTAGAATTAAACATCTTTAGGGTACAATCTGAATGAACATTATTATATACCCTAATGCTGTTGCAACAGGGTATCAAATGACAAAAAACACTTCTATGCAACCAAATCCTCTCCCTTTCTCTCTTCTGCTTTGTGCGTGTATTTTAATGTTAGGACTAGTACAGAAAATGGAGCAATATCACTGTTCAACTCTACTTCCCTCTTGAAAATGAAAAAAACTGCAGACAACTGTCAAGAGCCTCTATATCTTAACTTACATTCCTCCAAAATTATCTCTGCCAAGAGATATTAATAGAAGGATGGGATTTGAGTCCAAGTAGTGAGCAGATCCAACTCCACTGAAACGACGCTGCACCAAACCATGTAAGGCAGAAAGTACAGTCAAAGTCTCCAGCACAGATTTGGGTCCCATTTACATGTTAGGGAAAGCACCGGGGGAAAAGTATGTATGCACGGATGGTCCCATATACTAATAAAATATAAATTTAAAGAACCATTTTGAGGGTTTAAAAAGGTTGAAATGGACGATGAAAGGTAAACACCAAAGTTGATGATAGGAAGTGATAAGCTGAAAGTACAAGTCCTCAGGCTGTCCACCAGAGAAGTATAGGGCGATAGACTCTGCCTCAGCGATGTATGTAGATAGAATTTTGTAGACAACATAGTCAATAATATTTACTGACCTAGATGTCAAGGGAAAGGATAAGGTTCAAAAGATATCAATGTATTTTTCCAAGTTGTCCCATCCAAGAATTAACCAAACCAATTCTTTTTTTTTTTTTTTTTTTAAATCCTCATCTGAGGATACTTTTCCCATTGCTTTTCAGAGACAGAGGGAGGGAGAGAAAAAGGGAGGGAGGGAAACATCAAATGTGAGAGACATATTTACTGGTTTCCTCCCGCACCTGTCCCAACTGTGGGTGGGGAGCAAACCGCAACCCAGGTACATGCCCTTACTGGGAATCGAACTCATGACCATTTGGTGAGCAGGCTGAACCTCTTAAGCACTGAGCCACACCGGCCAGAGCACCAAGCTAATTCTTATATGAAAACGATAACTGAGCCCTAACTGGGTAGCTCAGTTGGTTCAAGTGTCATCCCAATATGCTAAGGTTGTAGTTTCCACCCCTCCAGCCCCCGTCAGGGCGTATACTAGAATCAACCAGTGAATTCATGGCTAAGTGGAACAACAAACAGATGTCTCTCTCTCTAAATTCAATAAATAAATAATTAGAAAAAGATATTTGAAAAGCTCTGAAATACTTATTTGTATATAACTTTCAGAGGCACAAAAGAACCCAAAAGGCCTATAAGACAAAATTAATATGAAGAATCTGTAGGACTAAAATTGCACTAAGACACAAAAACTCAAAGTTCACATATGGTAGTTAAGTCGCTCTTTTAATGTCCAGATTTTCTCATATAAACCTAAGAAGCAATTAACTGTGATATGTTATGGTATAGTAGAACTGACTAATTGCAAGACACACATATAAATGTCAGATCACTATTCTTTAAGGGAACCAGACACCAGGACACTTTCCCATCTGTAAACTATTCCAAGTGCCAACATATTTCTGACTGAGGGAGGACATGCTGAAGAAAAGTCAAGTCAACTTTCTATCTTAACGTCCCCCTCATACAGATTTGCAGAACCATGTCCTATCACTGAAAAGCTAAAGCACTTGCTCTGTGACTTAAAAAGATCTTATCTCCTGACTTCCTCTCACCTTCCTTTGATCTTGGCCGGGTGCCCCAGTCACTCCATTAGAGAAAGCAGATGGCTCACCTCACCCCCGACTTTCCCACCACAGCTAACCTCTGATCTGAAGGTGTTTGCAGATACACTGATGGAACATTTATTATGTTCCTCTCAGCAAAACAAATAACACAACATAGGGGACAGTTTGCCCCAGTAAGAATTTGAAGCAGAATTTTAGTGCTCGGATTCACTGCATGGAGGGGCAGAAAGGAAAGGCATTAGGTCAGAAAGGAGGGCGGAAAGGGACATGGAGGAGTAAGCGGGCAGAAGCCGGAGAAGAGTAAGGCCCATTCCAAATATCAAGAGTAATTCCATGTGAACTGATCACACTAAATTGAAAAGGACTCTGTAGTGTGCCTTTGCAGTGAGAGAAAAGAAAACAAGCAAGTCCCCATCTGTGCTGCCCCAGGGCGCCACGTCCCGAGTTTCACAAACCTAATGAAGCAGTCAGGTTAAAATCCAACCGCAGAGGGGATGTGTCATGCGGAGAACAGCTAAGGGTAGAAAAGAGAAGCAGGGCGGTTCCTAATGCAGGTGATTATCCATGTGATAATCATTATATTTACAGGCTTTCCATTTTAGATCTGACATCAGAAATCACACAGGAGGAGGGATTAAGGAAATAAACAACCGACACAGAGGCTCCCAGCTCCCCTGAGAGGGTAGCACTTTCATTCATGCATGACAAGCAACAAAAGCAGAATCAAACAGGCCAGGAAAGAGTATTTCTGAGAAGGCAGCATTTCACATTAACACTTCTTTCCATTTTGATAACTTCCACTATTATTCAGCTTCTCAGACAGGTTACATTTTCAGAATCAGTTCCCATTGTTGTCTATGCTATAATACTGTATCATTTTTGGTTTACAATGAATGATACTCACATCATATGTCTTTTACAACAACAATGTCATTTTTTCCTTCCTGGAATTGAGTGTTGTGAATAAAATGACATATAATTAAAGTCTTAGACGCTCATCTACACCATGCTATTTGGGATTTGCAGTAGGCTTGCTGCTTCACTGACCAGGCTAAAAGGGTTCCAGTGAAACAACAACCAAATACAGTTTTTTTGAGTGGAGATTTAAAAACAAAACAAAACAAAACAAAAAAACACCACACCTGAAATTCATGGTTAATGAAAACTATGGAATATTTACATTAAGAGCAATTTAAGGGGATTAGCAAATCACTATTAAATAGCATAATCCTCAGATTATGCAGAAAAGAAAGGAGAAACTCAAGTGCTTGTTTGTATGTATGTATGAAAGACAACTATCTTCTTTATAGTAGTTCCTCCTTATCCATGGTATAGCTTTTTGTAGTTTCAGTTAAATATGGTCCAAAAATATTAAATGGAAAATTCCAGAATTAAACAATGCATTCGTTTTAAACTGAGTGACGTTTTGAGTAGCATGACGCTATCTTGCACT